TTGGTGCATATAAACCGACTCATCTCTATTTAATAATGCACAATATATCTGAAACTATTACTATCATACTCAAATCATAAAACGATCTAATTTTGTACGTATTTCCCTTTTGATAATCGACAACATAAACACAGACATCCCAAACTACAACCGCCCATAATTAACACAATCTTGTAATGGGCTGAGGATCACCTGTGCACCAAGGGGAACAGGGAAGAGGCCATAGGCAGAATTGTCTAAACCAACAACCAGAGCATGATTACTGTCAATAAGATGCCGACCATTTCGAAGGACAATGGTTTGTATCAATGCATATGGAGACCAGAGAGACCGAATCTGCAAGTTTAAAGAACGGAAAAAAATGTAAAGATTTCAATGACGAAGTGTTTGAAATTGTTTACAGTGGATTAAGGATACCTCAATATATCTTGGCAACAAAGCAATGGCATAGGGCTTCTGTATGACAACAACAGAAGGTGCCTCTGACCAACAAATCCGACCTTCTTGAAGAAGCTTCCCATTTTGGTCCACAAAAACGCCAATGTTATCCTAAAAGTTAGACAAAAGGTGTTTATTCCTTAAATATCTAAAGAAAATGACATCGACGTTATTCAGTATTGTTTTTATTTTCAAGTTTGAAAATGATCCAACTGCTGGACTATAATGAACATACCAGCAAACAAGCCCACCTGTTTACTAGAAAAAGTGCATACTCATGCATAAATAATTGTGTACACAACTATCAGTCAGGCAGTGCTGCAGTATACTTAATCTGACATCCAAATTCAAAAACTTCTGCAAATTTCACTCTACCTCTCATTCTACTTGTTTTCTGTAAAAATATAAACATATTATGTTTGAAATACAGCTTTGTCAGTACAAAGTCGTGAAAAATAGAACTTCCATACTCCCAACCTCAACTGCAGGATCCTCCATTCTCCTGCCATAGGTCATCTTTCAAACACATTGCAATCCTATTAGTATGTGCTATTTAGTTGATATGGTATGTTGCGATAGACACCCAACCAATCGGCTGGTTTATATGCAAAAATGATAACGAATCCAAAAGCCTTCTCCTTTTATCCTGCCCCTCTAGATTGACCATACTTGTAATGGTAAATTGCCCTCCCAAGAAGCATAAATCAACTCAAGTTACTATTGTAGGTTACCCTATCAAGCTGGAAAGAAAAAACCCTACAAACTGCAACTAATTTGAACTTTTGGTTTAATATTTGATTAGGATGCAATAGAATAATATGTAAGAATGAAAAGAAATCTCTTATCTTAAAAAGAATGAAGAGAAGCCTTAACATTGCCTTTGCTACTCTTACTTGGTGTGTGTTACAACATCCTGTTAAAAAATAGTAATTATAGTTTAAACGCTTATTTTCTGTAGGATTTTTTTTATAATCTAGCTTGATTTGGGTTGAGGCTCTCCGCCCCCTCGTAAATTCATGTGTTTGGTAAAATCTCCTACAAAAGAACATACTTTTGGCCCATTTCAGTTCCATTCCAAATGCACCTCCATCAGTTGCTTACGCAGTCAGCAGTGATAATGGCATTATACATAATTTGTTATTGTCTCCTCTTCTCTTCCACATATTAGCAAACTTATCCTCAGCAAACTAACTAAACCGAGAAATGTTTTAAGATTACTTGTTCTAATCTATGCAAACAGTGAAGTAACACAGCAATACCTATGGGCTGACACGGAAATATAGCATTAAGGAGTCGAGAAAAGCCCATAATTCTGGGGCTTTTCGAAGTTCAGAGTATCAAGTTCAAAGCCATACTTCTAAGAGCGTACCGAGGTTCATGTTTCATCTCTTAAACTGATCCCTTCCATTCTATGGTTACCAGCGATTTAATTCTTAAACTCTGTATTAGCTTTTTCCAAAGTGTAAATTACAGGAAATATGCATACCTTTCCCAGAAGAAGTTCTCCAGAAGGTAGTGACACTACCAGAGGTGGGGCTAACCTCCCAGAAGGAAATACATTAGTCAAGGCGCCGCTGGTAGCATTTAATATCACGTATTCTCTTCTAATTCCCAAACAAATATTTTCTCCACACCAAGACATTGACTTCACTGTGTCAGGGACACCAAATTCTTTAACCTCTACGAATCCTCGTCCCCCTACAATGCCAAAGAACAACTTAACTTCCTTGCCACAAATTAGAATTATATCTCGAAGATGCGTAACTTTTATATTGAAATTATTGGCAAATGTTCCTTCAAACTGTCGAATATTGAACAAGCGTAAAAGAGCAGGAACTGAGACTCGATAACTGGAAACTGTGAGAGGTTAAATCTATTCCACAAAATCCAATTCAAGCTGAAATATTAAACGATGAACTGCTAGTTTCCTAAATTCAAATTCGAAGTCTATGAACTAGCTGAAAAAAAAAAAAAAAAAAAAAAAAAAAAAAAAAAAAAAAAAAAAAAAAAAAAAAAAAAAAAAAAAAAAAAAAAAAAAAAAAAAAAAAAAAAAAAAAAAAAAAAAAAAAAAAAAAAAAAAAAAAAAAAAAAAAAAAAGAAGCACTGATTGCATAGATAATTACCGTCGTGTCTGAAAATACAGACCCTCTTCTGCCTGGCGAAGCACAGGAAACCTCGGCGATCGTCCCAGGAATACACATTGGCACCCTTGGCCTTGGTAATTACAGCAAGAGTTTCCAAATTGGGAAGTTTGTGAAACGCGATAGACTCGGAGAGAGTCAAAAGGAGCTCCCTGGAATCAATGACCTTCATTGACACCAAAGACCGCCGGGAGAATCCTGTGACGTTCTTCTCCAGTACATATGGTTCCTTTTGCAGCTCCATCGACATGGAGTGGAAATCAGACGTCGGAGATCGGTCGGAACCGGAGGATTTCGGGGAGTAAATACGGAGAGATCCATCAGAACAACCGATTAAAAGCTTGGAGCCGTAAGACTCGATGGATTCGATTTTGGAGGGATTATCCTTGAGTAGCTCGAAGGAATCGTAAGCACTGTGCACCATTCCGTCTTCTCAATTAGAACATCTTCGACTGCAGTTCCCAACAAATCAAATCCACCCGAGTTCGATCAAAGTCCCTTTCAATTAAAGGGGTCTAGCTCACGCATTAAAAATTTCCTCGGTTAGCTAAGCTTTTGAAAACAAAAAAATCTTGAACTGATGAACACGATTCTCACAATAGATAGTATTCTTTGACTATGTAGAACTTTCATCCAACAACTCCCCTCAAATAAAGTACGCATCCTCTTAATCAAGGCTCAACTCCTTTGCTTTTAAAGTCTTAATATTTTTTTATTATAAATTTATGATCATTCCCTAAATTATTCGATGTGGGACTTTCATCCAACAGTATAATGTTAAAATAATAAACTACAAAAAAGAAAAGCCTATTTAAATGTGTATTAACACTTAGGATTATTTAAAAAATGAGGAGATTAATGGATCGAATTCAAAATAAATTTGTTAAATATTAATAGGTAAACGATATTAAATTTTTGTCCATATATTTACATTTTGTTAATATTTCCTCGTATCTATGAGTTTATTGATCAAACATTAAAAAAAAAACAAAATTAAAATGTCACTTATATGAATATAATATAAATAATAAGCATATAATAAAATGTAAAATAAAAGTACACATAAAAATGATATGTAACAACATGCTAACCCATGATGAATAAACTTCAATCTTAGAAATACATGAAGATTCAAAACACACAATAATTATGGTTATAAAATAGCTGCAAACAACCAAGCAAGCTTAGGGGGAAGAAGAAGTTGCAGGCGGAGGAGATAAGGAAGGGAATGAAGTCAGAATGGTAGGAATTGATGGAAAGCTCGGGAGAGGAGGCAATGCGGCCCGCTCGGGATGTTCAACAGGAAGCTCGGAAATGGAGGGAGATTAACCTTAGGCCATGTGGGTTATGGTAAATTTGGAAGAGTAGGCAATGACGATATCCCTGGCAAGTTCGGCAACAAAGGCGGTGTAGCTTGCAAAAGATGGCGAGCAGCTTGACCGATGTCAATGCTCGAAAGAGCCAAAGTAGCTATGAAAGCAATGATCAATAACTTGGAAGAAGCCATTTTTTTTGTTCTTTGTTCACTTCGAGGAGATGATTTTGAAGCTTTTGTAAGATGGTGATGTATATCGGTTGGAGATTTAGGGTAATTTGGAAGCCATTGATATGATGTTGAAGAATTAGCTCACCAACTAAGTGACAAATTCCCATGAAATTGGAAATTAGATCACCAAAGTTAGATCAAGGAGAGAACGGTTAGGTCAACTAATAAAACGGTAAATTTAGGGTTTTAAATTAGTTATTTTGTTATTTTTTAATTTATAAATTTTATTATAATTTTAGTGGAAAAATCAATTTTAAAGTTTTAAAAATTAGGTTGAAATTTTATTATAAAACAATAAATAAAAACAACTTTTTTAAATTAAAAAAAACACGGTTGAATTTTATTTTATTTTATTTTATTTTTTTATTTTTTTTATAGTGGAGTTCGTATTTGTACGGTAACTCTTCAATTTAACTGATATTGAATTTATCTATAATTTTATTACTAAAGTGATTTTTTTCTTTAATGAAATAAATAAATTAAAACAAAAAATAGACTAATTATAAAACAAATCTCCTATAAAACATATCAGAATATGAATTAAATATTTTGTTAATTATAGATTTTATTTATGAAAAATCTCTGTTTAAATAAGGAATGAATAAGTGAGTTAAAAAAGATTTTTTTTTTTAAACTAGGGTAAAAATTATATGTATTATATTATTATTTTTTTACTGTTAATTTTTTAAGATATCTTATATTTTTTAATAAGAAATATATTGGAAAATAGAAATTGTCTTCTAATTAAAAAAAAAAAGAAAAAAAAAAATATATATATATATATATATATATTTTTAAAAAAATATATTTTAAAATGACAGAAAAATCTGAGAAACTCCATAAATATATATATTATATGCCCTTCGTACCCTGAACCGGTCTAGCAAATAGACTTCTGAGATTTCACGGCGAACGGGTTCGTCTTGAAACCCTCCTACCATCTCCGCTGTGCTTAGGTCAATGTCAGATTACAGCAATCTTTTGTTCAATTCATCTCCATTATCTGCGTTTCACGTATGATTTGCAATCGTTCTCTCTTCTCTGCCCATCAATCTCTCTCTCTTGGGATTTCAACGGTTTAAGGTCAAGTGCTCCTTGGATCTCTGGATTTTCTCTCATCCTTGCGCAGTATCTTATGGTTCAATTGCCTCCTCGCCTTGATCGCACTTTCCTTCGGTCGCTCATGGCTGTCGTATAGCGTTCGATGGTGTTCCATCGATTTCTGTATTAAGGTGTTCTTGATTTCCATTTAGAGATTTGTTCTCGGTTTGACTCCGCTGGAGTCCTGGAAGATATTCACGGCAGTTTTATTGCTCCCATTATTGGCTATTTCTTAAAGTTTAATTTGTGCGAACATTGATTTTAATCTTTCTGCGTGTGTTCATGGTCTACTGTACTCTGATATAATTTTAAACTTTTTGATATCTTTCTTGTTTGGTATTGTGGTTTTTGTTGCTATACTTCGTACGAATATGGTTTCTGCTGATGAACATCATTATTCTAACCGATGAAGTTTTTAGGTTCGTAATGGCTGTAGTATTGATTATGTTTATGGTATTCTCTGATTTGCTTGGTTCTGACTGGATTTTGAGCCTTATCAACCTCAAGGTTTTATAAACAGTCTTGCTACTTTTCAGGACGGGAGGGCAAGTCTAGAAATCACAGATTCTGGTACCAGAGGCTTCAAAACATGGCAGATCTAGAAAATTTACTTCTTGAGGCTGCGGGAAGAACTAAGGCATCCGGGAGAAATCGACACTCTCATCCACCATCACGAAGACAGCGCGAAGGTTCATATTCTGATGCTGGAAGTGACTCGAGGGATGATGACTCAGATGATGAACGTGGTTATGCGAGCAGGAAGCCATCTGGATCTCAGGTTCCTCTGAAGAAGAGGTTAGATCCTAATGAGAGGGATGATGATGTGGGCAGCCCAGAAGAAGGGGAAGACGAAGATGTTGGTTCAGAACACGAGGGTGACAGCAGTGATGAGTCTGATGTTGGGGATGATCTTTACAAAGATGACGATGACAGGCGCAAGCTTGCTGGTATGTCTGAACTTCAAAGGGAGATGATTCTTTCAGACAGAGCATCGAAGAAGAATGATAAGCATTTATATGAAAGCTTGAGATCTAAGATGGATAAAGGGAAGGCTGCCCCGTCTCGGAAAGAAAATCCTCCTCTCCCGTCATCTCGTATTAGATCGTCAGCCCGATCTGCTGATAGAGCAGCTGCAAAAGATGATGCTTTAAATGAATTGCGTGCAAAAAGGTTGAAGCAGCAGGACCCTGAGGCTCACCGCAAATTGAGAGATACATCTAGAGGAAACGCAAATAATCGAAGGTTCTCACCAACAAAGCGAAAGCCCTTCACTGCTCCTAGTTTGAGTAGCTCAAGCCAAAGTGAAAGTGAAAGTAGGTTTCAAAGTGACGATGAAGGATCTACAGGAGATGGTGGAATGATTGACAGTGACGATGAAAGAACCATGCCTGGTTCAAATGGGCCAACATTTGATGATATCAAGGAAATTACTATTCGTAGATCAAAGCTTGCAAAATGGTTAATGGAGCCATTCTTTGAGGAGTTGATTGTTGGATGCTTTGTGAGAGTCGGAATCGGGAGATCAAGATCTGGGCCTATCTACAGGCTCTGCTTGGTGCGCAATGTTGATGCAACAGAACCTGATCGTCAGTATAAACTCGAGAACAAAATCACGCATAAATATCTTAATGTTATTTGGGGAAATGAAAGTTCTGCTGCCAGATGGCAAATGGCTATGGTTTCGGACTCTGTTCCACTCGAGGATGAATATAAACAGTGGGTGAAGGAAGTAGAGCGAACGGGCGGTCGGATGCTGAGCAAGCAGGATATCTTGGAGAAGAAGGAAGCTATACAGAAAGCCAACAACTTTGTGTACTCAGCAGCCACAGTGAAGCAGATGTTGCAGGAGAAAAAATTTGCCTCATCAAGGCCATTAAATATTGCAGCTGAGAAGGACCGACTGAGGAATCAGATGGACGTAGCACTAAGCAAAAACAATGAAGCTGAGGTGGAGAGGATCAAGGCAAAACTGCGCCAATTAGACGCATCCAGGAGGTCACAAATGAAAGATGCCAAGGCTATTAGGTTATCTGAGATGAACAGGAAGAATAGGGTGGAAAACTTCAAGAATGCATCAGAACTAAGACCCACGAAAGATTTGAAAGCCGGTGAGGCTGGTTATGATCCCTTCTCTAGGAGATGGACGAGGTCGAGGAATTATTATGTTTCAAACGCTGGTCAAGTCGATGGGGCTGCCGAGGCAGCTGGCAACAGTGACAATATAACTCCTGCATCAGAGAGTACTGGAACAGGATCTGGAGAAGCTGGTGTGGCAGCTACCGCAGCAGCTTTGGAAGCTGCTGCTGGTGCTGGAAAGTTGGTCGATACTAACGCTCCAGTAGATGGAGGAACAGAATCGAACTTGCTGCACAACTTCGAGCTGCCTATATCATTGACTGTGCTTCAGAAATTTGGTGGTGCTCTGGGAGCTCAAGCTGGGTTCTTAGCAAGGAAACAAAGGATAGAAGCCACAGTTGGGCGTCAAGTCCCTGAGAATGATGGTAGGCGGCATGCACTGACACTCACTGTTAGCGACTACAAGAGAAGAAGAGGGCTTCTTTGAAACTCAATAGTCTGTTCTGGTCTTCAAGGTAAGTGCTAGAAGCTCCATTAAATTTTAGCAACATGCCCTGCCTGATTGTGGGAAATACTGGAAGAGATCTGTTTGCTTCTGATTAAAGATTTCTTAGTAAAAGATTATAACGCTCCTCTGTTTCTTCTTCTTAGGGTCAATTTAATTCGCAAATTTTAAGCATAGTTTTGTCTTGATCTATCTACCTTTAGAGCTCATATCTTGTGTACGTAGCAATGATAATTGTATAGGCTGATTCATTTTGGTGTCTCTATTTTTCTCAACTTAGTGTGATTATTGCATTTTATTTATTTATTTATTTATTTATTACTTTGAAGAATACATACTAATTGTATCCAATTAAACTTTGTCTAAAATTCTATGTTAAAATACCTTAACTTTCATAATAATTGTATCCACTTAAATTCTAAACTTTTATAAACAATCCATTTAAATTCTCAGTACTAATTATTTTTATTATTATTATTTTGCTTAATTTCTTTTTAAATCAACTTAAAACTCCAGACTCAAAAACTATATCTAACTCAAAAAATATTCATAAACTTTCGTAATAATCTATAAAATCGTGAAATATTTTTTGTAATTTGTTTTTTTTTTTATTTTTACAAAGTGCTATTTTTAAAATTTTGTTAATATTTTAAAACTATTTTTAAAATTTTAAATAAAGTAAAATTTTGAAATTTTCTAGTTAAAATGTATTTTGAGATTTTTTTTTAATAAAGATTATTTTTGAAATAAATTACTAAGTTTGTATTTTTTATTAGTTTAGTCAAATTTAAATGAATAATTAAAGAATGTGTGTGAGTAGGGCAATCATTAAGGACAAACATGGGAAAAAGGTAAATCGCGGACTCACGGGTACACAGTTAGCGGGAAACATTCGGGCGGCGAAATTAGAACCTTTTCTGGACAGTGACATACAGTTCTGTCACCCATTAATTTAACCAAGATTTCAATAAGCCACCATACGTGTTTCTCTCTTACTGGACCGTGACGCTATTTTTAGCGGTGACCGATATGCTTGAAGTTTAAACCATTTTAGACCCACTGACCTGTTATATATGTTCAGAGTCATCGACAGAAGAATAAAGAAGAAGGATGACGCTGGGGCTTATCAATGCGAACCCGGTGGTTCACGCCAAGAAGGAGCGGATCGCTCGCTCCGAGGAATTTCACGGCGACGACGCCGTTGATCCTCTCGAAATCTATGATATCCTTTTCTTAATTGATCGTGTTTTGACCGAATTTTGAGTTCTCCTTTCATTTTCTCTACAGGTCTATTTTCACTGTGATTCTCGAGCTCAATTCTGATTAGGAAGTTATTAGGTGTTGTTTTAGTCTATTTGTAGAGGATTCTTTTTTTGTTTTTTGTTTTTTAATTTTCTGGCGCTTTCTTTGTGACCGAACGAGTGATTTTTTGGCTGATTTTGTGAAAATTGAGTTTTCTCATTTCTTTTGGAATCTGTTATTTGATAGTCAATTTGCAAATTTCTTGTACTTGACTCGTGTTTTGGCACATTTCGTGAGGGATATTAGAGATCCGGAGCATCCGTATTCGTTAGAGCAGCTTAGTGTTCTTTCAGAGGAATCGATCACCGTTGATGAGAAGCTCGGGCGTATCCTGTAAGCAGAACCGAAAAAGTTCCATTACTTCTCTGCCTCTTTGATTTTGAGAGGCAATTTGAGATTATTGATTTCTAGTCATATTGATTTAACAAACTCATTGCCAAAGACTCCTAGTCTAGGGAAGTTTGATTGAAATGCCTTCAGCTTCAAATTCCTAAATCGTTTGCTGAATTAATGTTTATCTCACAGGATTACTTTCACTCCGACTATCCAGCATTGTAGTATGGCGACTGTGATTGGCCTCTGTCTGAGAGTGAAACTTAAACACTTCTTCCCCCCACATTACAAGGTCAGATCACATTCCTTTCCTTATCAATAGACTTGAAGCTTTGGAGTACTGCTTCTTCATTTTTAGTTCTACAGGCTACTTGATGCAATCACCAGATACTGATGAAATTTGTGTTTTATGTATGGATATGAATTCGAGTTTGAAGAAGTTTGTTGGCTTTTGAAATAAATGATCATGATGATAGTGCGCTTGTGTTCCATCTCACTTGCCAATACCGTTTGGATGTAACTTTTAGATATGTTCTTTTGGTGCCTGTTTGATAAACTTGATGGATTGTGCATATTAGGTAGCCATTTAACGACACTGTGGAAGAATTTATTATTCAAGAAAATAAATTATTCATGAAAGCACATAAAGAGAAGAATTAAAAAAAAAAAAAAAAAAAAAAAAAACAAAAAAAATCCACTTACGCTTGAGTTTTTTTTATTTTTATTTTTATAATAATTTTGAAAACAATTTAAATTAAAAAGAAAATCCCAGAAGTCCTGTTTTAATTTTTGTATTTATTGTTTTTACTCTTAAAACTTATTTGGAAAGGTATCTCGATCTTGCTTTTCATGTAAGTTATACCTAAAATATTTAATTATTTTTTATTAACAATAGTTTTGACAATATAAGAAAAACAAAAAATAGAAAAGGTTTTTTTCTCTTTTATTTTAAATTTATCATCTCAATTTCAAAAAACACACGGATACACGTTAAAAAGACAACCTCTGTAGTTTAGTTTGTGCAGAGAACTAGAATTTATAGGACTTATTTGTGAATTTTGTTGTAATAACAAGAGACAACCATCTGTTCAATTCAAATGAATCCCTGTAGAAGACTTTTGTTCAATGTTCATTTAATTTCATGTTTGAATATATATGATGGCAAAAGGCTGAATTACTTTATTATCTTATTAGCTGATCTGATAGAACCATGAAATCAACTTGAACAATTTGAATCTAGCTTGAGTTTAGATCGTCCACTATGTTTTCTTATTATAGAGTTTGCAGGTTGACATCAAAGTGTCTCCAGGATCCCACGCAAATGAAGAGTCAGGTGAGATTAAAACATTCTAAGGTGTTATTAGATCTAGATACCCATTGGAGAAAAGATCATGAAATCAAAGATTGAACTTGTTAGAACCTTAAATATTTGATAACGAACATTTGTAATGAAGGGTATTAATATTCGACATTGGTTGAATCACCATTAATTTGGTTCTCTTCTATTATAATCAAATAATTGTGCATGACGAAACTGAATTCACTCTCTTTGAGTTAGTTCAGTTAGGTAAATTAGGTTCGTTCAGTTTTTTTATATCCTTAGTTTTCTACTTCTAGTTACTGCTGACATACTCGTGCATTGTGTTTTTTGATCTTTAAATTTGTTCTGTTTTGTTCTTTGTTTTTGGCGGTGAAAGAACAGTTAATAAGCAGCTAAATGACAAAGAAAGAGTTGCAGCTGCTTTGGAGAATCCAAATCTGCGTCAGCTTGTAGATGAATGCCTGGATTCCAGTGAGTTCTGAATAAATCAAATATCATCGTACAGATGGATAAGAAAAAAGGTAGTTTCCCTAATGTTACAAAATAGAGGCTAAAGTATATAAACTATAAACTACCCCTTAAAATCTCAGACTTAAAGTTCTACTCTTACTTTTAAATTTCAAAATTGTTCAGTAAATATAGAAATATAGAAATGTAGAAACATATAGATACATATAGATATATAGATCTCTATACTTTTATTATATAGATCTCTATACATTTATTATATAGATCTCTAAATCGATATATATCTATATCTATGATGTAGATATCTATATAATATATATAGATATCTATAGATCTATATATAAATATCCATATATAAAAAATGATTTCAGTTATTTCAATTATGCTCCTATTTTTTTCTTTTTTATATCTATTATATAGGTATCTATATATCTATATATAAATATCCATATATAAAAATGATTTCAGTTATAAATATATCCATCTATATCCATATATATCCATTTATAAAAAATGATTTCAATCATAAATATATCCATATATATCCATCCATATATATATATTTATATATATCTATTATATAGATATGTATATTTATATATGGATATATATGGATAGATAGATTATGAAATTGATGCAATAGTTGAAATAAAAATTAGAATGTGTATGTGATATCATTTTTTTTTATTCTCCCTCTGGTAATGAAATTCTTAATTGGGTGGAAAAAAAAATGAAGTTCAACACACTATTGGGTACTTCAATTTTGATTCAAACCAATCAGCTTTACATGAAATGGGGAAGTGGATGTGTATAGATTCTTCTAAATTTATTTGCTATTTCTCCGTCTATTATGGGAATAGAGTTATTTCTGGTTGCCAGGTTATTCTTCGAGTCCAAATATTCAATACTTGTACTATAAAAAAGAAGAAGTTATTTCTAATTTTTAAAAATTGGATATTTCTTTTTATGTGCGCATCACTTGTAAGAATTTTGAATTTGCAGGTTGAGTTTGTATGACTTAAAGTGGGTGATGGAAATCTCGCTTGCTATGTGAGTTTATTTATTTCTGGTTTAACCAACTTCAATTTATTTAATAATTTTAATCTTTTTAAAAGACTTTTGAGTGAGTGATATGTTTAGGATATTATTCTAAGCTTAAGGGGATGATATTTTAAAGATATAAATAGGAAAAGAATGAGTTTTGGTATATGACTGTGTTATCAACTATTTTGAGCAATTGATATTCATATCATAACCTACAAGATAACTAGTCAAAGTATCTTATTAGGATTAGTTTGATCTTCAAATACATTTTATTGGGAAAAAGAAACTAATTATCTTAGTTTAATTTCTCTCACTTATTACTTGCTTCTTTTTGTTGGATCGTTAAAAAGAGATTTGTGTCTATACATTATGTGTAACTAGACTAGATTTTAAAATGTTTTATATGCCTTAATAATTGATATTTTTTAATTTTAAAAAATAAATATTCCGTAGCAAGATTTTATTTTATTTTTAATGAGTCGTCAATTTATTCAACATTTTTCAAAATGAATACATCTATTTTTTTAAAAATTTAACTTGAAACACTATTAAATTGTATTTAATAGTATCATTAATTTTTGTCTAAACAATTAAATATATGTTTAATATATAAAAACAAAGAATAACGTGAATCATTTATCTGCAATTTAATTATGGAACCAAGACTTTTTATTTATATAAAATTAATTTGTTTGTGAATTTAAAAAAAAAAAAAAAAAAGAGAACAAAATTCTAACTTATTCCAAATGTATTAAAAATTCAAATAATAGATAAATATAATTATTGCAATTTTTTTTTTAATGGAAGGTTGCACCCCCAACGTCCTTGAATTTTTTTTTTATTAAAGATGGTAATAATTAAATTATTAATTTTTGTTCGTCATCCACTTGGGTTGCTTGGATTTTCAAAAGCCAATATTAGGTAATGACGTTACTTTTTCTGCTAGTTCTTTTAGTAATAGCGACGGTTATTGGGCATTTTCTTATTAATTTTTGGACAATCCTAAGTTGGAGGGTGGAATCTGACACTTGAATATACCTAAATTCAATATATCAAGTGGGTTTGTAATGAATGCAATGTACCTAAAACATTAAAGATACGGGTCCTCTCTCTATAATGTGCTATATATTAATAGATGGAACAAGTAAACAAGTTATGAGTTTCTTTTTTCTTTTAAAGAGAGGCCTGCTACAGAAGAAATCAAAATTAAAGTATTGGGCTTTGTTGACCTCCCAAAAGGTTCTTCAGTCTCATAGGTTTAGTTAGCAGAAACAGAAACTATTACTTATGGATGGCTACTAGCTCCTTTGCATTATTATTTTAGTTTCAAAATGCTGTAAAGGGGAGGCATGAGACATACCAGTTAGTTAGTTTGTTGCAGTAATGGGCTCTGGGGCAACTTCTGGGCCAGAAGAAGGCCCATTTGTGATATGGTGGGCCTTCTCATCAAGGGCCCACACTTGTGCAGCTTTAAGTTCGTCTTGGGCCATCATCTGAGAGAACTGCTGGTGATCATACTCGAGTGTGGCTTTACCCCCAAAGACACTGGGAAGGTTTTCCATGTCGAAGTATGATTTCATCAGCTCCACGCTTCCTTTGTCTTTGGGATTTACAAACTTTACCTTTTGAGATGTCTTTGGATCTAAGAAATACTTGATGGCCTATAAAAAATGGAAAAGGATGGCTAATATTGATGAATTTGGAAAAGAAATGTGATAAATAAGTGAATGGAATTAAAGAGCAGAGCATACCTTCCAGAAGGCTTGAAAAATCTTGGGTGGATTGTAGAGGAATGCAACGGCAAGTCTCTCGGGGTAATGGTTCTGCAAGATATTGATAACATCGGAGGCTATTTTGACGGAGACATTGGTTTTCATTGTAAATCCGGTGAAATCTATTAACCAACACATTTGTTCTTGACCCTCAACAAGGTTCAGAATCGCATTCTCTAAAAGATACACTAGATGCCGCACGCTAACTTCTGATGGAGTTGTGTTCTGAAAGAATTTAAAAGTGGGACTGGAAATAGTTAGAAAGTGAAATGCCAAAAAAACAAAAGGATCAGCACTTATAAATATCAATTAGACCACTTCTATACCCTTTTAATTTAACACGTCAAGATATTATTTAAATCTCCCGGGTAAATATTTCAATTAATTGAATTATATTCAGGGTGGAAGGAAAGTACCAAGTAGGCAGATTGGTCCATGCCGAGAAAACAAAGAATTGAACTCAAAATATTTTCTGGTTTTAAATTTACTTTTATACATGATTTTTTTTATTGATATGTTCAAAGAAAAATTAAACATATTGTGATTTAACATGGTCTGTTTTATTAAAAAAAGAAAAAAAAAGAAAAAAAAAAAGAATTTTGAATAGTAGTTATTATGAGAAAATAAGAGTTCATGATTGACATTAAAAATTATAATGAAAAGTGGGGACCAGCAAATATACCTGCATTCCAGGTCTCATTATGAGCACAGATCTTCCCTGTCGATCGCAAAAATTTGCTCTCGACACTTTTCCAGTCTCACCTTCAAATGCTACTTCATGCTGTATCAGAAAAATGCTTCTTAAAATTCCATGGAATGCAAGAATGCACGTTACGAGTAAATTTCATAGAGAAAAATATGACAATTAAATGAACTAAAAGAGAAAAAAAATAAAAAAAATCCATTACAATTCATAGCAAGGTCATGGGGAAGCAACGTGCAAAGAATAAAATTTAGAAAACTAAATTTTTGTTAGATGTTTGAGGGATACAAAGTTGTATAATTGAACTTACCCAACGGATTTCTTCGGGCTTGTAAGCTGCCCTCCACTTGAGCGTCTCTTCTAGCATTTTCCTTGCCTTCTCAACATTCCAGTTTCGAGCAATCAAATATCTCCTCAGACATGCATCGGTGCAATACTTTGAACTTCGCCTAGACAGAGGCCCAAGAGCAGCCCTAAGTTCAATGATCTGTACGGGAAAAATAGTTAGTTACGCCTTTCTTCATAAAATAGAATTAAATTATTTCACCCTTAAGTATTCATATATTTCTGATTGTGAATGTTTAATTAATCCACCACACCAAAAGTTATCTTATTTATAATCAAATAAATTACACGGATATAGAAATAGTAATAAATGAAAAGATACCTATGATAATAAGACAAATATTTGCCTTATAATAAAATATCAAATATAATATATATGGTAAACTATAATTTATTACTAAATATCCTTTAACACTTATCCTGTTCTTAAAGTTCTTTTCGTCTTATAGTATCTGAGTCAAGAACTGCACAAACTTGTGCAAATGAAAACATCTCTTATGTCTGAAAACTTGCTGCGTTAACTCGCCATAAGAAGAACGGACATGAAGGATAAAATTGATAGAAGTACATAATTATCGATAATTCATGAAAATTATTAGTTTGGATGGGGACGGTGGAATCTGGTCAGGAGCTATAAAGATGTTAAGAAAATTAAATTTGAGATGGGAAATGATATTTCAACGCAAGGATACTAATTTACTTGACCCCAAGACTTCAGAACTTTAATTTCCCCTGAAAATAATACCACCCAAACTATACTTTGGCTTCAATATATTTAGATAAGTTTCCAGAGATGCGAGAAAGGAACACAAACAATCACTGTATGATTTTTATCCACCCGTTCAATCTAACAACATGAAAGCTATTGTTGATAAGAATTAACTGGATTGTTACCTTCCCGTCTTCTTGTGTAGAATCATTATCATGGTGATTATGACTTTGAGAATGCTTCTTTAAACGAAACATATCAATCAGCAATGGAGCACAATGTGCAGCAAGAAAAACCTACAAATAAAGCCATTATTTAAACTTCTGTGGCTATTTGCGTGAGGATTGATATCAGAATCTGGAGCTTTAGATATTAAGAATACCATTACCCATAATGATCAGAATAGATTAAATAAAACCATGATGCTACTATTTAAAGAGTCCTTAAAGCATTCTTTATCAGTAATATTCATAAGGGACAAAAATAAAACGTGAAGGATTGGACATTGTCAAATTAAAAGCCCATGACTCGAATATTTCTATACTTCAAATTACAAAAGAAAACAAAGGTTTTCCCCAAACAATTGTAGCAATACAATTGAAAAAAGAAAAAAAAATGGTGAGAAGTTACAGGAAAATCATTTAGAGCCTGCGGATTTTTTAATCTACATTGTGAAGGCTTCTACGACTGTTTTTCCTAAAATTCCTAATCTGTAGCAATATCGGCCATATTGCTACAGATTAGGAATTTTAGGACTCAGAACAGGCAACAGGCAACAGACTGCAAGACCGCAAAATTAACTACCTGTATGTATCGATAAATCGATAGGCATTCCCTATTTGAATCAAGCAATACTAAATGAAAATTTAACCATCTGAAGAACATAATCAACGAGATCGATCCTAATCCTTCAACTCCATCGGATACGAATCTAGAATAGCAGAAACAGAGTCTTACACAAATGTCCGAAATCCAAACAACGAAATCGACTCCGTTGACCGTAACAGGGGATTGAAAAACCAACAAACCGATAAAACCGGAAAAGTCCAGAAAAAGACAGTAATTAGAGAATCCAATACAGGACAAGCTAAAGTGATCGAGAGTCAAAACCGATAAAACAATAGTCATTCACTAAAAACTCGGAACAATCAGATCTACTCCAAAACACACGCACAAGTAGAGTGGAAAGAAGAAATCGCAAGATTCCAAAACCACAACAGAATAGTAGGAGAGAAATTACAGAAAACTCACCTGAAGCAAGTAGAGGGCTAAGAAACCAGAAGCGGAAACTCCTTCAGGAAAAACAAAGATCAATTAAAATACCAATAAACAGAATCAATTGGTTGAATGCTTTGATTCTTCTTCCTTACAGAGGTGGTATAAGGTCGTTGTCCTTGTTACGGAAAAAGAACGCGTTGCAGAGACGGTGAGAGAGAAGCTGCACGTGAAGAAACCGTAGCTGTGCCACCAGAGATCAATGGAGGCCACGATTTCCTCGTCAGCGAAAGTGCGGAGAAAAAAAATGTGCAGTTGGCGTTTGGAAATTTATATAGGAGTTTTAAAGTGGGGTCCACTAGCTACTTTGTTAGAACCCAAAATCACCATCACGCAAGACTTCTGTTGGGTTTTCTTTTCTTTTCCTCTTTTTTACCCAAAATAATTTTTACTATCTTAAATATATATATATATTTCTTTTTTTTTTTTTTTTTACTGAACCACACGACGGTAAAATGTCTTCTTTTTCCTCGTGGATTGATTGGGTGAAATTAACCCCCACAAATTTTTTACTTTGTTTACCTAATACCAATTTCAACTTCACTGAGCAGTCTAACATGCTTGTGTTCTAACTTATAACTTAAAAAATTTGTATTACACTTTTTTCTAACTTAAAATTCGTCAAACTTTGTTAGGAATCACAAATTTATCGTTATTTTACTTTTTAATTTTTCCAAAACTCTTTATATCAATGAAGATAATGTTTCTTACTTCTTAATTATTCAATGTGAGGCTACCTTTTTCAATAGTATTTGAAAAAAATAATAGAATGAGAAGTTAATCATTATCAAGGGAGCACGAGCACATTAAACTATCCATGTGGCTGAGAGCCCTCACTGCCCAGGCATAACGACACAATTATCAAGGCCGCGCTCTACCACTGAGCTAACTGCCCATCGTGCGGGTCTCCCTCTGGGGCATGCTATGCCAAAAGCGAGAGAAACTCCATCCCTCTCTTACCTTTTTTCGCCCCCATGTCGCTACACGGGAGGGACATGGAGACGTAAAAAAAGGAGGATCCTATCAACTTGTTCCGAACTAGGATCAGTGTGATAATTTACAACATTTTTACAAATATAAACTTAAATATTGAATATTAAAAATACTCCTAAAATTACTCCGCTAAAATATACAAATCCATACATAATATTAGTTTTGATATTTAAACAAGTGGGAGTTAAATCTTGATCAATTATTAATACTAATTATTAATACTAATTTTTATGATATGAATTAAATTGTTACAAATTATCAATTTATTAAAATTAAATTGTTATATACTAATTTAATTTAGAGTGTAAATTGTTAACAAAAAAAAAAAAAAAAGTTAATTATTAGTTTCATAAAATTAGATCGACGGAAAGAATATTTAAGAAATAAAAGAAAAGGAAGTGCTTCTTCTCTTTTGGCTGGCTCTTGTAGACCACGACCAGTCAAAATAAATTAAAAAATAATAATAAAGCATATAATTAAATCAATTTTAATAATAAATAATTATAATAATCTATTTCTTGAAGAGTGTGAAAAGAACGAAGGGACGGCATTAAATAATTGACCCTTAAAAAGATGCTTTTGAATCGGAAGACTTTTTCTACGGTTGACATGGCACATTTTCTCGGGGGTTATATAATTTTATTTGAATTCTTGAATAATCCACGTGTAATAAAAGATTCTTTTATAATGGGTTACGTACAAATTATTTTTATTTTAATTATAATTATTGTTTTATGGAAATTTATTCCTTTCACCTTTCTCTTTTCTTTCATGGCTATGGCTAGGGGTGTACATTCAACCCGGCAACCCGACAACTCGAACCAACCCAACCCGAACTATAAGAATTGGGTTGGGTTGGATTAACATTTTGGGTAGGGTTGAATTCATTTTTTTGAACCCAAACTGAATCAGTTCGGTTTCGAGTTCATGGGTAAAACCTTCGAGTTGACCCGAGCCAAATAAAAATATATAAAATATATGAAAAATTCTTTTATATTAATGGGTTTGTCAAAGTGATACTGAGTTTAGTTTAGAGTCGAGTTCGAGTTTGACTCTTGCAATTACATATTTTTGTTTTTATTTTTCTAATAGTTTTAATACATTTTAGATTGTATCAGTATAATTATAAATTGTGGATAAATAAAACTTTAAAAAGAAAAATTAACAACCCAACCGGACCCAACCCAAAAATAGAGGGTTGGGTTGGGTCGTGAAAAGTTTCGGGTTGGGTTGGGTTACCAATCCAACCAACCCAAACTTGTGAGTTGGGTCGAAAAAATCCTACAACCCAACCCAACTCGGGTCATGTACACCCCTAGCTATGACTATTATATTATATTATGTCAATATTCGTTGGACTCTCTTTTGGATGAAAGACATTTGTCAGAGAAAGATTTTCACACTCTAAAAAAGAATGTTCTGTTATCCTCTCCAAGATCTTACGGTCTACCCTTCAACCAATGTGTGATCTTACACTCTACCCTCTACTTTACCCTCTTCAAGAAGTGTCCTCGTTAACATTTGTTTCTCTCTCCAATCAATTTTGTTATCCTCTCCTATCGATATGGGATCTCACAATCCACTCCACTTTGAAGCCCAACATTTTCGCTGACACTCGTTCTCCTCTTCAATCGATGTCATTATTCTCTCAAATCGATGTGAGATTTCACAATCCACTCCCCTACGGAGTCCAGCGTTCTTGCTAGCACTCTCTCCCCTCTCCCCTCCTCTCCATATGGGATCTCACAATTTACTTCCCTTCCAAGTCCAATATCCTTGCTGACACTTATTTCTCATTTTTAATAGACGTGGGATCTTATAAAGATATAATAAAGATATAATAATTTTGAAGTATACGGTTAGATATTGCCTGAAAGTTTGATGGAACAAGATCAGATGATCATAAACAAACAATTTTGGTAATAATAAAGAACGGATCGTGGTGAAACTAAGTAGTCCGACACTCTATGGATTCAATCGGTAAGAAGAATCGAAGCACTAAGGCATGTATCCCTACCAAACAGAGCAAGTACCACACAGTTGCATAATTACGTTTCTATGAAGATCGCAAGAGAAATGCTGTAAATTCAGTTGAGGAGTAGTTCAAACCTTGAATTAATCATAGACAGGTTAGATCCGAGTTGTGAGGTCTTTCAGATTCCATTTCCGGCAATGATCAACGTCCACTATCCATCCCAATTAAGAAATTACAATACTGGAAAAACTTGAAAATCTTTCAGTAAAAGTACTATGCATCGCCATAAACTAGCCTAGCAGCTTGAAAATACAGATGAATACTTTCATTCACAGTTCCACAATTCGGAAATGTTGATATCAAATCATCGGATATAAAAGAATCGAAACATTGGAAAACTAGGCAGCGGATAATTAAGTAGTGAATGAATGTGCAAGCCTGATGATGATAAAACTCTTTCTTAAATCTTATTACCTAACTTAACACAGTAATTTCGTATTGATTTTGATAACAACATGCGAGTATTTGAGTGAGGATTGATATTAGAATCTGGAGGTTTAGATATTAAGAAGAACACCATTACCGATAATGATCAGAGTAGATTAAATAAAACCATGATGCTACTGTTTAAAGAATCCATAAAGAATTGCGCGTTTGTGAGATTAATAGAGATGAAAAGAAGTGAAGAATTGGAATTCTCAAATTGAAATCTCATGAATCGAATATTTCTGCATTTTTTTCCGTAAATAAATTCAAAATACTAACCAGAGAATCCATTGGTTGAATGCTTTGATTCTCCTTCCTGACAAAGGGCGTTGTTCTTGCTACGGAAAAAGGAGTTGCAGAGACGGTGAGAGAGAAGGGGAACATGAAGAAATGGTGGCTGCCACCAGAGATCAGAGGAGGCCACGATTTCTTCGCCAGCGGAAGTGAGAAGAAAAAGGCAGAGAGCATGCGTTTGGGGGGTTTATATACGGGTTCAACAGTGGAGCCCACTTGCTGGTTTTTGTGTAAGGAACCCAAAAAAACACTTTCACGCAATGTTTTTTCTTTTTCGTTTTTTTTTTAACTTAAAAATATTTTTTTTGCCTTTTTTTGCTCTAAATGAAAGTGATATAATAAACCAACCAAATTTTTATGAGAAAGCTTTATTAGTTAAATTTAGATTTTTTTTTACCTTTAATAATTAAAAAAAAAAACTAGATAATGATCTGGATGGATTCGAACCATCACCCTCTCAAAACCCATCCAGGAAATTGAGCGCTCTCCCATTTTTGAGCTTACAGATCAATAACATATACGAATTCAAACCCAGTTGGACGTAAACAGTTCATATCGATGATACTTGCGTATACATGATAAACACATGGTTGCTACTAATTATTTTCTTTACAAAGGGTATTTAAAATAATTATAAATTATTTGAAGCCATAATTAATAAGTACCGAATATTAGAAACTATTTGACTAATCAAACTTCAGAGCACTTTCTTTCGGTAAATTCAAACTTCGGAGGGTTCATTTAATAAGTTACAGTTATAATCAGAGAATTGCTAGCTTCTAGTCTTTAGGCACACAGCATGCAATTAAACAGAAAACAACACAGAAGCACAAAGATGGTTTAACTTATAAAATTCGATCCCTGGCCACCAAGGTTAAGTGGTTTATCAATAAGGTCCTGAAATTACAATATCACGAATTTCATGTCCTAAGCTTCCAGAAACATAAGGATAAGGAGTCTTGTAATTAACAAAGAACTAACATGAAATAGGATCAAGATTAGATAACTGAACGAACAGGGGGAAAGAACCATGGAGCAAGTTGATTGTTCTTCTATGATTTCAAAATGTATGAAAACTAGATGCACTAAACCATACTTAAACCAAGTTTACTCGGTAACCTTATTGAAAATGAAGAACAAAAACTTGTAAACGAGAACAGAAATTAAAGTTGAGCAGTTCATTAAACCTTGAAATCATTGTAAACAAGTCGGGGCCGAGTTCGGTAGTCTTCAAGATTAGATTTCCAACCACGATCATCAGGACATCATCCACAATCCAATGACAGGTACCTTCATATTCAGCATCATTCTTTGCAAATCGTTCTATGAGACCAAATCCTCCCGTTCAAATAATTAACATCTAGGAAAGCTTAACTACAAATATAAATTACAATACACAAACTAAAAATACTGGAGAAACTCGAAGATTTCCACCAGAGTTCAATACATACCCATACGGGAAGCTTGCAAATACAGATAAATATTACAATCATAGTTCCACTAATGCGAAATATTAGTAAATAATTCTCTTAATAGACATAAAGATAAACAAGGAAGCTGAAATTAAATTGATGATGCGAATAGATGGCAAATTGCAAGCCTGGCTACAATTAAGTTGACAAAAAGAAGCATTGAATCATGTTGCAACGTAATTAGTCGCGAATAGGCGCACTTAAGAACAGCTATAGTCAATTAGTGTTAATAATACATGTGACGTATACTAGAACTATTTCATAAGCTTATTAACGAACTTACCAGCAGGAATCATGCGACTCATCAAAATGAGCAGGTAATGAACTTGTGATTAATAAGAGTGATCAAGATGGATAGTAAAAACACTTTCCGACATGATTGAGAAGGAAAGTTTTAAAGGATTCAAAAATTGGTTTCTACGATATTCAAATCACTCAAATAAATTGGTTTCGATGATATTCAAATCACTTCAATAAATTCCTCCTTAATGTCAACTTTTAGTCTATAAAAATAACGTTAAAAACAGTAAAGACAAAACAGTCTTAGGCAATTGTACCAAACTAAACCTAAAATTGTGGCCATGAATTAACAAAAATAATTGAGACCCACATGTTAAGGATTGATTTTAAAAAAACTATCTGACCATTTGAAAAACACGAGAAACTCTGTAAATAACTTCGCTAACTACTTTATACATGAAAAGTACTACTATTTGGATGTAGATTTGTATATTAGGTAATGCAGATTTGTGAGTCTCTTTTCCTTCTAATGATAGTTATGTGCAAGAGGAATACCTTGGCTAAAAAACGGCGCGAGATCCGAGACGCGGTTGATGGCGGTTGCAGATGTAGAAACGAACTGATAGAAAGAGAGAAAAGTAGGAAAACACAAGCCAGAGAGGAAGAAACCCCGGGCAAACCCCGTGCGGTCTCTCCCTCAAAACCAAAACATCACTACTTTATTTTTTTTTATCGATGACCTTCCATGCAAGCGCACCTGTCATGGCAAAGGTCGGATGACAAAGACATATCAGGATTCACCCTCCACAAATAGGAAGATGAACTCCGATTCCTTTTACATCCAAGAGCCACACTCATCCACTCCTTTCCAGCGATTTCGGTAATATATACAAAGTACAGATTCCATCGAATGGTGCGTACACTTTTCAAACACCAGGCTTATGAACCGCCTCAACAGCAGCAAAGAACCACCTATTAATTCGACTGCTAACATCTGCACCGGCGAAGACAAGACGTAGCTGCTCCACAAGGAAATCAGAACGGTACAGATCCTAGATCTGACATCATCTTCTTCATACCTGCTCAGAAAAGTCAGAAGGCCATCCTCCGAAACAAATTATCAACAAGAAGAAGACTAAAACCTAGATCTGCAACGTAACAAACTAAAAGAGTAGGCAAGAATTAAAATCAATACAACAGATCGAACACCGTCTTCAAGCCAAGAACGAGCAAAAAGAAAATGATCAGATCTGCAGTCTAACCTTACAGATCGGAATCATTAGCCAGAATCCGCGACCGAAAATCGTTGGAAACAATAATCAGCGAGCAAATACGCAGCTTCAGAAGTCGAAAGATCCATTCTTAGCCCTCTAGAACCGGAGAACAATAAGAACACAACAGATCTAAGACCGAGAAATGGAAAAATAAAAGAGGACGGACTAGGAAGCCATCTGGAATCCTTATATGGATTAGGGCAGCCAGGGAACTTCTTGACCTTTTATGGAGAGAGAGAACGAGATGGACGGCGACGATGAGGGAGTTGGTTAGAGACGTGGACGGCTGAGATAGAATAACGTGGATGAATTATTATCGCTCATGGGATGGAATAAATGCGATAATTACTTTTGGCGTTTTGGAGCGGTTTCGTCGTGACTTCACGGAGGAAAGATCAAACAGAACACGGCATTTGGAATTAATAAATAAATAAATAAATAAAAAGTTAAGAATTTTCCAACTTTTGATATTAGCTTATATTATACGGCATTAAAGGTCGGTTAAGTATAAATTATCACATTTCTAATTTTAAATAATTTAATTCAAATTTAAAATTTAAAGAAGATAATATTTCAAAATGGAGCTTGATAGAAGGAAGCATGATATATTCCGAAAGATAAGTTTATATAATTAATAAAAACATAAAATGCGATAAACCCAAGAATTATTCTCGAAAGTTTAAAAAAGAAAAAGAAAAAAGACACAAGGAACCTAATTCTGGAGAGAACTAGAACAGTCTGAACAAACTTCGTTACAGAATTTGTTTTTGACCAAGCTGAAAATCGGCCCAGGTTCGAGCCCAAAAGAAATCGTCCCAGGATGGATTCCCAATTAATATAATAGTACAGAAACAGTATTCCCTCAGATCCGGATGGATTCGAACCATCAACCTCCCAAATTCCTCGCAGAATTTGCAGCGCTCTACCGATTTGAGCTTACAGATCTATGTGCTACAACAATCGACAAATTTCAAAATGACACTAATTTTAACACTAAAAAAGAATTAACTATTAATTCAAAAACAGATTTCCAAATTAACAAATTTAATAGGAGTTCCCTTAACCTAAAATCTAGACCAAAATTTGATTAGGCAAACATTAATTTTAACACAATCTAAGATTACTTTGAAATTTGTTCACGCATGATTATCGCAAAAAATCTAATGAGAATCCTTTGAACGACCTACATAATTATTCGTGGACGATACGGCAATATCTGGGAAACATAAAAGATTCAAGAAAAAAACATCTTTTATGAAACATTTACTCGGAAAGTAAACTATCTGATTACTATAAATAATAATATTAAGTCTAAGGATTTACAGAGGAACAGCAAAAATAAACAGTACGGCGCACAATTATATCCGAAGATTTTCAAACAGCTACTTAAAAAAATCCAAGACATGAATGATAATTCAATCACGATCAACCTACAAGAAAAGGAATACGTACCCCGTATAGTTTAGATATTCTAAAAAATATACTTGGGAAGTTTTCAACAAATTTATATGGAGCGGTCAAATAAATCCGCATGATGATATAGTTTTCTTTATTCACGGACAAACACAATAAGAGGCTCCCATAAGAAATACTTCACAGGCATAATTACTACACATGAAATGGAAAATAAAAACTAAAAAAAGACGAGATTGCACTATCTGTTGAAAATTTAAGAGAAAGAACGAGTACTATCACAACTTCAGACTAGATAACGTATAACGATGAATGGACGAATATGACACAGACTACGACTTTTACTGATAAAAACATGGCCAAAATGTAAATTAAGAACGTTAACAGCATATATAATTCAATATACCAGAAAGATTGTAACAATCTTCATGTTGTAGCAGAGCTGAAGACAAAATTGACTCTGTCACACCCACCCCATCTTGGAAAAGTTGATTGCGTCTGACACCAATTGCAGCCGATGCATCGTACTTCTAGTAACGCCATATACATCGATTTGGACCCTATCTACTAACAATCAAACAACCCAGAAAACTACTGAAGAACTACAAAGTTCAACGTCCCAAGAGCAATACAGACTTCATACTAATACCTTACACAGGTTGATCGATGTGGACAATATCAATTAAAATAATTAATAAGAGGGTAAGGAATAGAACGGTTCCAACCATCAATAGTTTAACGATATGGAAGAAAAAACTTGGCCCTAAAATGACTAATAAAGCATATTTAAAAAACCGTTATGTTAAAATTCCAACCGTAGGAACATATGCGTCGATCGTTAATCTATAGCTAGGTGAAGAATAACACAGGACAATACAAGTGGAAATATTAACCAAGAGCGAATGAACAATTTTAAAATTTAAATACCATTTATTACCACCTACTCAGTACTTTACCTTAGCAAAAAGTGAGGGTAGTTTGGTGAAATCCCTCCTACTGCGAAAACTGTCATTAGAAAATCCCCAAAAAGGTCTGATTACTAATTATAAAAAAATTTGTTGCGTAATCTTCCTCGTAATGGTAGTTTTAATGCTCAAATGTAATAATTACCATTTTTTACGCACCTCAAAATGTAAAGTCGTGTACCTTGCATGTCGGGAGTTCGATCAGGCCAAACGCTATGAACGGAGTAGTTTCTGTGGTTGAAGTTGCAGAAACGAACGCAGAAAAAGAGAGCAAGAGGGGAAAACAGACCAGAGAGGGAAGAGACCCCGGGCAATCCCCGTGCGATCTCCCCTCGAAACCAAAAGATACAATTTTTTTATTATGTATGACCTGCCATGCAAGCGCACCTGTCATGGCAAAGGCCGGATGACAAAGAGCTACCAGGATTTGACCTCCTCAAAAAAAGAGGTCTAATACCGATATCTTTTACATCCACAAACACTCATCTACTTCTCGGATGCTTTCATTATTTTCATACAAGATACAGCTTCCATCGAATACTCATCGACAGCTCAGCTACATCAAACTGACGAAATGGATGTCGAACTCATCTCGATCTGTATTAACCAGCAGAGTAGAATCGAATCCAAGAGATATGCCAAGTGATACTGCCTCATGCCAACATCCAGTACCGTCAACGACTCCATACCTGTTTGATTAAATCGAAACGCCTTTCGTTGCATAGTAATAATAAAGAAAATTAACGGAATCAAGAACCGAACCCCGTATTGGCGCGTACGTGACCGTTGACCACTCCATCGTTGAAGATATGAAAATAGCACACAAGAACAAAAGAAACAACAATATAGAAGTCCACGAATCCCAGTCAGTACATTAACCTATACAAGGATAGATTAGAACGGATGTCGAACCTGCTCGAATTTTAATAAATAACCAGAATCCGTCACCCAGATTTAACGACCTCGCCAACACAAATCCAACAGAGAAACCAACTGATATTGCCTCAACCAACATCCGGTGCCGTCTTCGATTCCATACCTGTTCGATTAGAGCGGAACACCTTCGGTTGCATTGTAATAATAAAGAAAATTAACGGAATCAAGAAACAAACCCTGTATTGGCGCGTACGGGAACGGTAACCTCTCCATCGTTGTAGACATGCAAATATCACAGAACAACAAAAGAAACAACAATATAGAAGTCCACGATTCCCCGTCAGTACATAAACCGATATGAGGATAAATTAGAACGGATGTCGAACCTGCTCGAATTTAATAAACAACTAAAATCCGTCACCGAAGACCGAATCATCAAGAGATCGAAATGAAGTTGTAGATCTACCAAGATTAACCGATCTAGCCGACACAAATCCAACAGTGACGCCTAGTATATTGCCTCAACCAACATCCAGTACCATATGTGCCTCTAAACCTGTTCGATGACAGCGAAACGCCTTTCGTTGCATAGTAATAATAAAGAAAATTAACGGAATCAAGAACCAAACCCTCTATTGGCGCGTGCGTGAACGGCAATCCTTCCATCGTTGTAAACATGCACATAGCACACGACAACAAAAGAAACAACGATACGGAAGTCCAAGAACCCCGTCAGAACATAAACCGATATGAGGATAAATTAGATTGGATGTCGAACCTGCTAGAATCTATATAATCAACCAAAACCCGTCACCGAAGACCGAATCGCCAAGAGACCCCAATGAATTTGTAGAACTACCCCAGATCTGTCGATCTACGACAACACAACAATCCAAGAATCGCATTCAGAACATGAACATGGAAGATAATAACTCAGATCTGAAGTTGAACTCGACAGAATCAAAATAATCAATAAAACTCCGAAACCGAAGACCGAATCGCCAAGAAACCACAATCAATGTGCAGATCTACTCCAGATCTATCGATCTAGGACCTCCGGAACAGCAACAGAGTAGAAGATTAGGCCAGATCTGCGAAAATAAAATTAAAAGAAACAGGAAAAAGTAGAAATTGCAATGGAGGCAGATGGAGAAATGAGGGAGGCTATTATCCTTTTAAAGAGGATGAAGATGAAATGGACGGCTAGGATTTTGGTGGGGCTAAAACGATCTGACGGCCAATGTTAAGTTACGTGGTTGAATTAATAATCGCTAAGGCGGTGGAATAAAGGCGATAAACTATTGGATGAGAAATTGCACAGCTAATGACCTCGTTGTCAAGCAAAGGAGCTACCAAATATAACACGCTACTTGAAAAATAATATTTTATATATAATTAAATAAGAAAATTATATTTAAAATTCAATATTTTTGAAAAATATTTGTGTATTTATTTTGAATTATTCAAAATCTGACCACCGACTAGGTTGGGGTAGACTTTTTGTGGCGGGCGTTTAGCATTTTATTTTATTTTATTGAAAAAAAAAGGTTTTATAATTAATAATGACGTGGAATATGTTTTAAAATTTGAACACACCCCAAAATTGAAGCCAAATTTTAGAACCCTTTTTTTAAATAAATATGCTTCCAATATTTATAAATAAAATACTAATAGACATACCCTTTTTTTTTTTTTTTATATCTAAAATTTACATTAATGACCTTTTCAATATTAATCAAATTTAAATTTAAGAACGTTTTGTTCCATCGATGGTAAGTAATGTTCAGCTAAATTAAGTTCAATTGTTCGATTCATTTAAATAATATCGGGCTAAATTAGGTTCAATCGAATGGATCGATACTCAAATGATTGAATAATTAAATTTACTAAATTTTCATGTCCCGTGAATTAATTAAAAAACCATATATATATATAGTCTCAAATTCATCGATATATATTAAATTTACTTTGTTTTCGTTAATTAGATAGTACTTAAATTTGCATTTAAAATTTGTCAGTCATCAACAAGTGGGATTAAATTTTAAGTTTCCAACCTAACGAGTTCATATGCTTTAACCAAAAGAATTATGTCCATGGTTGGCTCGGTTGCTCATAATTCTTATTTGAGATCGAATGCCTCGTGTAAAGTATAAGTTTGTAAGTAAAATGAGTTATGTTTGTATTCGTGTTGGTTTAACTCGGTATCATAATCAACACAAACGATCTGGATAAGTCCGGGTTGTATAGTAATATCACGTTTATTTTAATAGATTTACTTACATTAGTTCCAACAAAATCGACCTCGACAATCAATACGAGAGAATTTTAGTTCCTCCTCCTCCTCCGGAAACATATAAAATAGTATTTAATTTTGAGTACTAGCTTCTTAGAATAAGAGGTGGGCTTGGTGGGCTTTCGGGCTAAGCCCACTCCTTATTTGGGCCAATTAACTTGCCTTTATTAACCAAGCCCATAAAAGAAAAAAGGTTTTTAAAAATATTTTATTCATTTTATTTCTTAAAATAGGTTTGCCCTCTTGAGTAGGGATACATGGTCAGAGTTCGGTTGGAATGTTGGATTGATAACTCAATCTAACTTAAAAAATTTTACAACCCAACCAGGTTGCACCTAAAAAATTAATTAATGTTAGTGACTAATTTAGTTATATTAAATTGCCATATAAACCATTAATTTCAATAAAATTTTAATTTTTAAAATTTATTTATTACCAGTTCATAATTATTTGATCAACTTCTTCATCCACAACAAATGAAAATTATAATATTATAACTAGTTCAACGTTGTTATTGAACTAAAGACAATTAAGTAAGACTTCATGTTTATGCTTATTAATAATTAACAATGAACTTGCACTCGGAATGTTATATGATTGATTAAATTAATTTTTTTATTGTATGCTATGTGTCGGTGCTACGATGGTGTTATGAAAAGTTCAAAATGTATTTTTAAAATACTAAAAAAAAAAAATTCAAATGTATTTTTAAGGTAAAGTATAAGGTTAGGAGTTTTTTTAATTTATTTTTAAAATTTAAGGTATTATTATTTATTTATGAGAAAGATTTTTATTTAAAAAAATATATACATAACTAAAATAATATAAAATATAACTTTAAAATTAAAAGTAGTTATATTTAAAACAAAAACGTAAAAAAAAAAAAAAAAAAAAAAAAAAAAAAAAAAAAAAAAAAAAA